GAGAGAGAGAGAGAGAGAGAGAGAGAGAGAGAGAGAGAGAGCAGGTAAGTCTCCAACCTCGCGGCTGGCCTCCTGGTACTTCCATCGATAGGATGAGAAAAATCGAATGAATCTACTGCTAGAACATGGAAATATACATTGCGCACACGCGCGCAGCACACCAGACGTGCGCAGCGCAGCGCGCACTGCGTACCCGATGTGCGGCGAGTGCCAGTGTGCGCGCACCTCGGGTCCGGGCACAGCGCACAGTGCCGGTGCGCCACAAGTATGGTTTGTACATTTGCAGGGAATGCTGGAGACCCTTTCCATCCAGGGCCGCTCCCCGCCAATGGAAAAGGTGTCATCCCCCAGTAAGACCTCAATCCTGGTGGTTCTCTCACCACCGCCCGGACAGCTGGTTTCCATCATGATGCTTGGGGGGGGGGTGGAAGAAAAAGTTGGGGGGGGGGGGGGGGGGGGGGGGGGGGCACTGCGGGGGGGGTCGCGGGGGAAGGTATGGGCATTAACTTAAGAAAACATGGTAAATTGGGTTAAAACTTAAAAGTTGACACCGATGGATATCGAGATACCCCCCGGGGCCCCGCCCCCCGTGGGGGGGGGGGGGGGGGGGGGGGGGGAGGTGGGGGGGGGGGGGGGGGGGGAAGGAAGGGTAGCAGCGCCTGGTAGGCCTTTTCCGCTGATGGCTGCAAAATTTAGGTGCGGGCACTATCACACATCGGAAAAGAGGCTCTGAGCAACTGGTGATTTAAACCACCAGTACTTCCTACAGTCGCGTAGCGTTAACGCTACGCAATTTTAGGAAACGTACGGGCCACTACAGGAGCGGCCAAATTCATCCAACTAGAAACGTTTCTACTCTATTTTTTTCCGCGGCCGATAGCTGGGCCAAGTACTGGTGGTTTAAGCCACCAATCTCTCGTAGGCCTATTTTTCGATGACGGAACTTTGTGGGGGAAATACACCTCAGGCAGGCTAGTATGTTGAAAGTGCGGCCTCCACTCTTTTGCCGGCAGACATTGGTTTTCCCAAGCCTGGAGCACCAAGCCAAAAAGTCTTGGGCTATTGGGTGCAGCAGGGATAAAAAATATGCTAGGTTACCAGCTGTCGGATCGGCGGACAGCTCTGGCGGACGGATGTCCGGGACCGGAGTTGTCTGGGATCCCGGACAACCACATTTTTCATTTGAATAATGAGCGGGGGGAAAAAAGGTGGGGTAACTTCAGTAGAGTCACAAAAAGGAGTTATAATTGCAGTATGGGGCAAGATACAGTTTGCAATTGCACTTCAGGCACCCTAGCTGGCCAGAAAGCTGGGTTGTATACATTGCCCGAACTGCAATTCGAAACTGTATCTTGGCCCATTGTGCAATTATAACTCATTTTTATGACTCCCACGTAGTTTCCCCCCAAAAAAAAGAATGTCACTGCGCTATATGGGAGGACCCCACAACAAAAATTCAGGTCGTTAAAAAAATAAATTGAAAACTTGGGTGCAAGGGTTGGGGGGAGGGGGGGTTCATTCATCGATTGATTGATTGGCCGCCTTGATTGATTGATAAATTGAACGATTGTTTGATTGATTGATTGATTGATTGATCCATTGCATCTCTTCTCCACCACTCCTTGTCCTCCATCGCCTCCTCCATCTCGTACTCCTCCGATTTCCTATACCCCTCCTCTATAGCCTCCTCCTTCTCCATAGCCTCCACCTCCATCGCCTCTTCCATCTCGTACTCCTCTGATTTCCTACCCTCCTCCATCGCCGCCTCCTCCATAGTCTCCTCCATCGCCTCCTCCATAGCCTCCTCCTCCACCGCCTCCCCCATTGCCTCCTCCTCCTCCTCCTCCTCCATCTCCTCCTCCTCCTCTTCGTCCCTCGCCATATCCTCGTCCTCCGTGTCCTAATCCTCCTTGCTCTCCTCCTCCTCCTCCTCCTCGGCCTCGCCCTCCTCTCCTCCTCCTCCTCGGCCTCGCCCTCCTCTCCTCCTCCTCCTCCATAGCCTCGTCCTCCTCAACCTCCTCCTCCATAGCCGCATCCTCCAAAGCCTCCTTCTCCATTTCCTACTCCTCCTCCTCCATCGCCTCCTCCATCCCCTTCGGTTCCTCCTCCTCTTCCTCGTCCTCCTCCTCGTAGCCTTATTCTCCTCCTCTCTCCTCCTCCTCCTCCTCCCCCTCCTCGTCCTCCTCCTCCTTCTATTCGTCCATCGCCTCCTCCTCCTCCTCAGCCTCCTCCTCCGCCATCGCGACGTTGTCCTCTGCCTCCTCTTCCTCCTCCTCCTCTGTGCCCCGAAGAAAAGTAGTGAGACAAAAAAAAAAAAAAAAAAAAACCTACTCCTTTCCTGTTCTGCATTGGCATGTGGCGCGATGGCGCAGGAGGCGGCGGCGGCGGCGGAGGAGGAGGAGGAGGAGGAGGACGACGAGGAGGAGGAGGAGAAGGAGGGTGGCGGAGGAGGAGGAGGCTGGCAAGGCCATAGAAGAGGGAAACCGTCTGTTTTTTTTTTCAATTTTTTTTTTTTTTTTAATCAATCAATCAATCAATTCAATCAATGAGTCGATTCGATTCGTTGATTGAATCAAATCAAGATCTTAGCTCGATTCAATCAACGAATCGAATCGATTCATTGATTGAATCTATCGATTGATTGATGGATTGATTGATTGATTGATTGAGTTAAAAAAGACAAAGATTGAAAAAAAAAAACAGACGGCCGCCCTCTTCTCCGGCCTCGCCACCCTCCTCGTCCTCCTCTTTCTCCTCCTCCTCCTCCTCCTCCTCCTCCTCCCCCCCCTCCTCCTCCCCCCCCCCCCCCCCCTCCCCCCCCCCCCCCCCCTCCTCCTCCTCCTCCTCCTCCTCCTCCTCCTCCCCCTCCTCCTCCTCCTCTTCCTCCTCCTACTCCTCCCCCTCCTCCTCCCCCCCCCCCCTCCCCGCCCTCG